GCAACACTGATTTGCTAAAAAAGCTGCCGCCCGAGCTCTTGCGAAATCTTAAGAAAACCATTGGTTTTTCAAAAGTTTCACAAACATGCTACCAAACGGGCTTCGCGCGAGCGCATGTCGAAATCTGTCGAACGCCCTTGCGCGTGTGCCGTCGCGAGAACCCTCTGCAAAAAATGGGACGAGGTGCAGACGCGCGCGTCGTCGCGGGCGCATGCCGAAAACCTTCAAAACCCATAGGTTTCGGAAGGATTTCATAATCGTGTGTCCAAAAAACCTACAAAAACCTAAGGTTTCGCAACACGGATTTTCAACAAAAGCGTGCGCGCGCGCTCTTGCGTCGTCGTCGTCGTCGTCGTCGTCGTCGTCGCCGTCCTCCCTCCTCCCGCGTCGTCGTCGTCGTCGCCTACGTCGTCCTCTGTCTTTTCTCGTGTTCGTCGTCGTCGTCCTCTTTGGCGTCGTGGTCGTTTCCGTCGTCGTTGTCGCCGTGGTCGTCCGTCCTCCTCCTCCCACGTCGTCGTCGTCGTCCGTCGTCGGCGTCTCGTCGTCGGTCCCTCCTATTTCGTCACCGTCGTCGTCGTCGTCGTCTTTCCTCCTACCTCGTCGTTGCCGTCGTCGGCGTCGCCGCCCTTCCTCCTTCTTCGTCGTTCGCGTCGTCGCCGTCCTCCCTCCTCCCTCGTCGTTGTCGTCGTTGTCGCCGTCGTCGTCCTCCCTCCTTCCTCGTTGTCTTCGTTGGCGACGTCGTCGTCGTCTTCGTCGTCGTCGTCGGCGTCGGTGTCGTTGTCGTCTTCGTCGTCGTCGTCGGCGTCGTCGTCGTCGCCGCCGTCGTCGTCGTCGTCGTCGGCGTCGTTGACGTCGTCGTCGTCGGTGTCGTCGTTGCCGTCGTCGTCAGCGTCGTCATCGTCGTCGTCGCTGTCATCGTCGTCGTCGTCGGCGTCGGTGTCGTCGTCGTCGTCGTCGGTGTCGTCGTCGTCGTCGTTGTCGGCGTCGTCGAAGTCGTTGGAAACGTCGTCGGTGTCGTCGTAGTCGTTGTCGGCGGCGTCGTCAGCGTCGTTGTCGCTGTCGTCGTCGGCGTCGCTGTTGTTGCCAAGTGCCATGTGGTACCCACCGTCACGGTCTCAAGAGATGTTGCAAACCAAGTTGCGGGTGGGTGGGTGGGATGTTTGCGCGAGCAGTAGAGTAGACAACTCACTGCGAACAAAAATTGATTGCACCTTCTGGATTCTCCTTCCTCAAAAAAGAATAGACTCTACCCCCCCCCGGCGTTATCCGCCCCCTTTCGGGTATGTAAATCATTTATGATTCTTACCACTCGTCCATCCTAAATATGAACTTACATGATCCCAGGAGAACCGGTATCGGCCCCCCCCCGCCATCCTCTGCAAAAAAAACTATGCGCGCACACTCGTTCATCAAAAATCAGAGGTGGTCACGGACCCCTTGCAAAAATGGGACGACATGCACACGCGCGCGTCGTCGCGCGCGCCTGCTGTCGGTGTCGGCAGGATTTCGCAATCGAGTTCCCCAAAAACATACAAAAACACATGGTTTCGCTATACAGATTTGCTAAAAAAGCTCACGCGCGAGCTCTTGCGAAATCTTAAGAAAACCATGGTTTTTCAAGACTTTCACAAAATGCTACCAAACGGGCTTCGCGCGCGCATGTCGAAATCTGTCGAACGCCCTTGCGCGCGTGCCGTCGCGACAAACCTCTGGAAAAAAACGGGACGAAGTTCAGACGCGCGCGTCGTCGCGCGCGTATGCCGAAATCCTTCCAAACCCATCGGTTACAAAAGCGTGCGCGCACGCTCTTGCGTCGTCGTCGTCGTCGTCGCCGTCCTCCCTCCTCCCGCGTCGTCGTCGTCGTCGTCGCCCACGTCGTCCTCTGTCTTTCCTCGTGTTCGTCGTCGTCGTCCTCTTTGGCGTCGTGGTCGTTTCCGTCGTCGTTGTCGCCGTGGTCGTCCTTCCTCCTCATCCCTCGTCGTCGTCGTCGTCGTCCGTCGTCGGCGTCTCGTCGTCGTCCCTCCTATTTCGTCGCCGTCGTCGTCGTCGTCGTTGTCGTCGTCGTCGTGTTCCCTCCTCCATCGTCGTTGTCGTCGTCGGCGTCGCCGTCCTTCCTCGTTCTTCGTCGTTCGCGTCGTCGCCGTCCTCCCTCCTCCCTCGTCGTTGTCGTCGTTGTCGTCGTTGTCGCCGTGGTCGTCCTCCCTCCTCCCTCGTCGTCGTCTTCATTGGCGACGTCGTCGTCTTCGTCGTCGTCGTCGGCGTCGGCGTCGTCGTCGTCTTCGTCGTCGTCGACGTCGGCGTCGTCGTCGTCGCCACCGTTGTCGTCGTCGTCGTCGGCGTCGTTGACGTCGTTGTCGTCGTCGTCGGTGTCGTTGTCGTCGTCGTCGGCGTGGTCATTGTCGTCGTCGTTGTCATCGTCGTCGTCGGCGGCGGCGGCGTCGGCGTCGTCGTCGTCGGTGTCGTCGTCGTCGTCGTTGTCGGCGTCGTCGCAGTCGTTGGTGAAGTCGTCGATGTCGTCGTAGTCGTTGTCGTTGGCGTCGTCGTCGTCGTTTTCGCTGTCGTCGTCGGCGTCGCTGTCGCTGCCAAGTGCCATTTGGTACCCACCGCCACGGTCTTAAGGGATTTTGCAAACCAAGGGGCGGGTGGGTGGGTGGGATGTTTGCGCGAGCAGTGGAGGTGGTCAGGCGCGGTGCAGGGTAGTCACTTACACCACATAGATTGCACCACGATAGCTTACACAACCCACATGTCCATTCAAATATACCACCACATCACGCTAGAACACACGTATTGAATCTCGATCATCGAATCTCCCTCCCTTCGGAAGCGGCAACAATGCTTGGTTCAACAAAATCTGCTAGATTGGAAGCGGGGCCCGCCTTATAGTTCTGCTCTTACGATGTTCGAATGAGGCCGCACGCGCGAAACCGACCATGCGCAACGAACCTTCATGGCAGTCTCCGATCGCTCCCCAGAGATCCGATGTACTTAAGCTGTTCAACGTGGCCCCGAGTAGCCTCGACTCTCCCCCCGGAAGCTGCTTCCTATCCCGAGCCGTTTCGTGATAGTCCCGGGGCCCGGCGAGGGCCCCCCCCCAAGCCGAAGACGGCGAGGACAGCAGCCGCACGTGCTGCTCTTCGACATGGAGGCCCGGGTCCCTCTGCCTCGGGTGCGCCTCATGAGGGGGGGGCGGGAAGAGAGGGAGGGGGGGGGGGGGGCGAATCATGGCACAAGGCCTGTGCACAGACGGGGGGGCTTCGGTGGCAACTCATGGGAGCCTCCCATACCATCTGGTCGGCTCTTGCGGATCGACGCTGTTCGACGCAAACCGACGCTAAATCGGCGCTATCTCATCGACTCCCAGATGCTAATCGAAGCTAAGACGGAGTTACCCGGGTCTACAAGGCTCCCATGATTCGCTACCGAAGGGGTGGTGGGGCAGGGGGCGCACGGAAAGACCAGGAGGTGGTGTGAACTCCGGGGGGGTCCATTGCCCTGGCCACGATATCCACACACACACACACACACACACACACACACACACCCCTTGGGCCCTCACCCCCCCCAACTGGGACGCCCCCAAGGGACCCTCATCGCCTGGCTTTCGGGTCCCACCACGGGTCCCCACGGACCGCTCGGGAAGAGCTGGGCACCCCCCGCAGGAGAGCCCTCGACGAGGCGCGGCGGCCAGAGGACAGACGACAACGCGCGCAAACCTGGAATTTGTGAGATCCGGCGTCGCGACACAAGTCCAACGTCATAGGAAATCACGGCCAGAGCCATGAACCTCATCTGGCCATCGCTCGGACGTCCATTCCCTGTGTTTTTTGTTGTTTCGTGCGTGGCTTTGTCGCCAAATTATGAGGATGCTCCTCGATGGTCCTCGCCGAAGAAAACATGCACACGTCCGAGCGATGCCAAGTCATCTTCCTGCTGCATTTTCTTCGAGCCGGGTCGATCCGTGCTGGCCCCGGGGCCCGAAAATGGGCGTCGACGCCACGTGTGAGAAAAGTGCAGCACCGCGATCTCAGCCCGCCCCAGCCGCGGGCGCCCGGACGGGGAGCCACCGTGGCGCCCCCTCTCGGTGGCGACATCCGAGCCCTACCCCCGCCAACCATCGATTCTCCTGAATCGATGGGGACCGAGGGCGGGGCTCGGATTTCACAACGTCGCCCATCGGCGATCCCAGATTCCCGACGTCGTAATCTTTTCGCACGACGACCCCCAGGAGGTCCGGACCCCTGACCCGGGACCGATGTTTCCTCCTGAGTCGTTTTTGTTGACGGTCCCGGGGCCCGGCGATGGCCCCCAGACGGCCAAGAACCTCCCGTCTGCATTTTTCCCACGACGCAAGCATGTCTGGGCTCGGATTTCGCAGCCGACCCTGGGCGGCGCGCACAAGGGGGGCAGGGGGAGGGGGGGAACAGGCTTCTTAGAAGAAGGCTGCTTCTCAAAAGGCGCCCGCCCTGCATCTAAAGACAAGGCCCGCCCGTGCTAGTAAGCAGGGGTGTTTACAAGAAGCCTTCGCCCCCTCCCTCTAGATCATTGGATACAGATTGTTGTTCGGTCGCGATCGGTAGCGACCGATCGGCAAGCGTTCGCGACCCATCGCGACCGACCCCAAACTCCGTCGCGACCGATACCGAACTTTGAAGCAAAACCAAAAGCAACCGATCTCGTCGGTCGCGACAGGAAAATGCCAGTGTCCAATGATCAGGGCCCCTGCGCCCCCTCTGCGCGTGGCCGAGACTGAGAGGCAACCATAGGGGGGGGACTGGCAAAGGGGGGGACGCATCGACCTGGAATCGGCGATGCGTCCCCGATGGATCGGCAAGAGGCCTCTGACAGCGAGTCCACACCCCCCTGGGCAGGCTGGGGCCATCGGGCCCCCATCGGCGACCAGTGGGCGATTGGGGGTCGATGCATCCCCCCCCATGTGCCTAGTCCCCCCCGATCGTTGCCCCCGAGCGCGGCCGAGGCCCCCCCCCCCCCGCGCGCGCCTCCGGCCGGAAGTGGAAGCCCGCGCGGGGGCCGCGCCCCTGGGCGGGCGCGAAGCGGGCGAGGCGGGAGCGGGCGCGTGCACGGCCCCTCGGCACGCTGCGCGCAGCCCAGGCACAGGGGCGGACAAGAAGGCGGGGGGGGGGCTGCTCCGAAGAAGCGGGAGAGAAAGAGGTGCCCCCCAGAAAGAAATACGTTTTTATGGACTCAGGGCTTCCAGGAGCGCCCACGCGTCAAACACGGTGCTGGCTGCGCTTCCAGACGGGCGTGTCGAGGCGGACAAGACCGCAGCCGGTTCCTGCAGCGCCTCCCAGCGCCGGAGGCGCCCGCGAGTCGAGGAAAACGCCTGGCGACGGGGCCGAAACCAGCTGCATGCAGCAGGCTGCGTGGCCCCCCTTTCCCAAGAGTCCCCCTCTTTCGCCCGACCTTGCCCATCTCGTCGGCGAGCGGAGGGGGGGAAGCGAAAAGGAGAAGGACTGCTCAGAAGGCGGCGGGGCTTCTCAGAAGCCCGCGTGCCCTCTGAGAAGTGTGCTGTGTCCTCGGGGAAGGCTCAAGAAAAACTCCTCCGAAGGCCTGGGGGGGGGTCCGGGCCCTCCGCGAAGGCCCGCCCCTTCGCACGCTGCCCCCGGGCTCGCCGCAGAATCAAGGCGGCGAGGAATGCGGCGGAGTCGGGAATGTGGCTGGCACCATTCCGAAAATGTTGCTGGCACTCCGTCGGCACCACCATGCCGAGCCAGCAGCGAGGCCGGCACTGGGGCACGAGCACCCCGTTCATCTGCCAGAGCGCACCTGGAGGCGAGAGCAGCGTTCCGAGCCAGGAGTGCTGCCACCGCTGGGGGGAGAACACCATTTCTGGCTTCGAAGGTCGCGAGAGATGCGGCCACGGCGCCCGTATGAGGAGGAGGAGGAGGAGGAGGAGGAGGAGGAGGAGGGGGAGGAGGAGGAGGAGGAGGAGGATTTTTGAGCACCTATGCTCCCGCTGCATGCACAAAGCACACTGAGCCAAGCGACGCGCCGCCGCGCCCGCCGCCCCGGCGCGGCGCCCCGCGCGCCCGGCCGGCGGGCGAGCCCGGCCGGCACGACACGGGGAAAAAACGACGGGGACCCCAGAGAAAGGGGCAGCGCAGCGCCGCCTTTAGCGAAAAAGACGGCGCCGCGCCACCCGCCCCCAGGGAACCGGGACCGGGCCCCAGGACCGAAAAAATAACCAGACCCCAGGACCGACCCCCCCCAAAAAAAGAAAAGGCGGCACGACACGACACGACACGACGGGGGACGAAACGGCCACGACCGACACGCACGACACGACACGGACGAACGACACGACAGAGACGAGCCACCGGTCCCGCCCCAGGACGGCGAGTGCTGGGGGGGACCCAGCACCGCCCTGGGGGAGGCCACGGGACCTGGCGACCCCCCCGGGGGAAGGAAACCGCACTTTGGCGGCGTCCCCCGGGGAGCGGGGGCATTTCGCCCCGAGGGCCCGGCGGTCCCCGCCTCCGCCAGGGGGCCGAAGCCCGACCCCACTCTTGGGGGCCCCCCCGGGGCGGAGGAGGAGGAGGAGGAGGAGGAGGAGGAGGAGGAGGAGGAGGAGGAGGGGGAGGGGGAGGAGGGGGAGAAGGAGGAGGAGGAGGAGGAGGAGGAGAAGGAGGAGGAGGGGGAGGAGGAGGCTTCGAAGGTCGCGAGAGGTAGCGCTGCGGCGAGAGCGCGAGCGCCACCTCCGAGTCCGGCTCCGGCGGAGCCGCCTTCGCCGCCTTGCATCCGCCGGCCTGCCGCCGCCTTCCGCCGAGGGAGAGAGGAGGCAGCGCTCGAGGGCGAGGCCCCCCCCCGCCAGGGCGCCCCCGAGCAGGTGCGCGGGGCGAGGCCGGGGCGGGGGCCGCGGGGAGCCCCAGGGAGCACCCGCGGCGCGGGCGGGCCGCGCGCGCATATGGCCGACGCCGACGGCCGCGGGGGCAACGTGCGGAGGGGCGGGCCCTCTCGCGGGAGGCTCGGACGTCCCCCGGCCTTCCGAGAGGTGGTCTGGGGCCTGCCCCGAAGGCACAGGAAGCTGCTCAGAAGGCGCGCGAGCGCTCCTGAGACGCTCCCGCCGCCTTCTGAGAAAGGCCTTCTCCTTCTCCCATTCCACCCCCCTCGCTCGCCGCCGATCTTGGGAGAGGGGGCCCCGGATCATCGGATACGGGCCTCTGAAAAATAGCCAACACTCATGCCGCACTCATAGGGCGACGAGATCTATGCATATCCACTGCTCCTGGCCAGGCCCATCCTGGGCCCAGGAGCGGTGTATATGCCTCCCTGGCCAAGCCAGGAGGGCGTATACACAGCTCTTGGGCCCAGGATTGGCCTGGCCAGGAGCAGTGGATATGTATAGAGATCGTCGCCCTAACTCATCTGTCAACGCCTACCCCTTCCCCCAATGTTCAAAGTTGGTGATGGATCTGAAGAGTTGCACTTCGACCGCAGTCTCCTCCGCGCGTGCCAGCTTTGAGTTTTTGGGAGAGGGGGAAGTGTTCGTCAATTGCTTCCCTCTACCGTATCCGACTTTTCTCGGTCGCGATCGGTACCGACAGACTTTGAAGCAAATGGGTCGCGACCGATACCAGAATTTGAAGCAAAATCGGTAGCGACCGATCTCGTCGGTCGCGGCTGGGAAATTCCAGTATCCAATGATCAGGGTTTGGGGTTGGGGATGGGGTTGGGGATCCCTCAGATCCTGGCGTCGCAAAATTTCACACCAGCTGATTTCGCCCGGCTTCGAGCCCCAGGACCCTCGCGGCTCGATCCGACTCGAGAAGTGCCACAAGAAGAAGGGGCCTAGGGCTCTGGTCGTGGCTTCCTCAATGCTGCAGCTTGTCGTGACGTCAGATCTCAGGGGTCGAGGGGCTGGGGACCCAGACACGCTCGCGTGATGAAAAAGAGCGCGACGGGACATTCTTCGCCGCTTCCGGCTTCTGGGGGCCCACGCTGGGCCCCAAAACCGTAAAAAAACTGGGGGTGAAAAGTCGGTCCCAGGGAAGAGGCTCAGACATCTGTGAAGGGGCCCTGGGACACACAAATAAAAACACACAAATAGCAGGATTCCCCATATGTTCAATATTGTATGTGTTTTTTGTCTTCCCCCCCTCTTCCCATAGGTTCCCATATTTTCTTGGGAATCGACGATTAGTTGTCTGTGTGTTGGTTCCCCTCCTGAATCTGAGGGGTCCACCCCGTGAAACACTCGCGACGTCGGGCGCCTGGGGCGCTCGGTGGCGCGCCGAGGTGGCTCGGGGTGGGATTGGGGATTTCCACACTTGCGCCGCTATGGCGTTGCGGATGCCACGACAATGGACACCCTAACAGTCCTATCATCCACGTGCTCAAAATTTAGGAAAAATGCCCTGGAAATGTTTAAAACATGTGTTGTACATGTTTTGACCATGTTGAACACATGGGTTAGACATCTGGAAATTGTTTGGCAACATGCTCCCTCTCCATTGATCGTCCTCCACAACTATAGCGCGGCCGAGAAGCTGCAGCAGAAGACGCACGAAGATCACCTGGTCCTGCCAGTGCCTCCAAAAAGCCCGGCAAGCGCTACTTCAGATCGGGGGATTGCAGGACCGTGGCTGCCTTTCGAAACGTTGCGGTCGTCTTCACATTACCCTATAGAAAGGGGGGCCGGGTTCTGCTTTCTACTTCCGCCAGCTTCCTCCGTCGCGGCCGCCCTCGCTTCGCTTCCGAAAGCTTCCATGGACCTTCCGACAGTCTCCGTGCAGGGCGAGGAATGGATCCTTCAAGCCCTCGGCGGCGGAAAACTCATCCAACGATGCACCTGTTGTGTGCGGGCCGTGACACGCATGGCGGACGAATCCGCCCCCCTGGAAGAACAGAGAACTGCATAAACATAAACGTTCGGAGGTCCGCGCGGATTTCTCAAATGAGCGTTGGCCCCCCCCCCCAACTGGCGCGCAGAACGCGCCAGGGGCGGCCCCAGCGCCGATCCGAGCAATCCGCGCAGATTTCCCAAAAATGTGTATGCGATGTGTTCTTCTTCGGGTCATTCTCATTTCCCCCACGCCTCCCCCGAAAGACCTCTGGAAGTCCCCAGAGGTCGCCAGAGGTCCCCCTGGTGACCTCCAGAAGCCCTCGCAGGCCTCTGGAGGCGTACGGGGGTTCCACGGGGGCACACAAGATATCATCCTTGCCGTGGGAAGACCCTGAGCAGCTTCAACGATGGGGGCCACGACGGGGAGCCACGATGGGGTGCCACGATGCGGGGATCCGGATAGGGATAAAGATAGGTGCAAGGATAGGGATACTCTGCGGTTACAAAAGTGTTTGACCATTCTTGCAAATCCCAAGGCCGGACCTGAGGTCAGCGCGCCCTCGGGCAAAACTGAATGGCGGACGTATGCCCATGCAGATCTGAAGCCGCTCACCCTCGTAAAACACAGGCGGAGTAAGTTTCGGAGGACGCGGAGCATTTTTCTTCAGCTAAAACACAACGCGGATTAAGTTCAACAAGAACGCGGAGTAAGTTAATCCACGTCAAAAAGCGTGCGGAGTAAGTTTGTACACCGTGATAAACGTATCATACTAAGGAGAAACGGTGTGGGCGGGATCCGAAACCTACTCCGCGACAGGCGGATGCCATGTTGTAGGATTCTACGGGGGGAGAGGGGTCGGTCGACGAAATGGTCAAAATTTTGGTAACGGCATTGTAGGGCCAGGGGTATAGGGATGGGGATATAGGAATTGGGATATAGGGATAGGGATAAGAGTCGGGATGAGGATGGGAATACGGATTGGCATACAGTACGGATAGGGATATAGGATAGAGATATTGATGCGGATAGGGATCTGGCGAGAGACGGCGATTGGAGGCCACTGGGGGACACCGGGAGGCCACGGGAGACAACGGGAGGGCAACGGGAGGCAACGGGAGGCGAGGGGAGACAAAGGGAAACAGCGTCGCCGCCCGATTCCCGAACCAACCGTCCACTTGCTCGGCTCTTGCCATATATCGCATCACACCCCTCACAGACGAGCTGCCTAGGGACGTGCCCGAAGAGATCCACGGAACCCGAAAGCACCGAGCACTTCGCCCCGTTGCCCGGGCCCGCCTCGTCCGCGTCGAGGCGCAGCACGCGCCCCCGCAGCGAGGGGGGCGGCTGCGTCGCCACGGCGGCCTGGAGGCCCCTGCTGGACGCGAACTCGACGTAGGCGAAGCCCTCGCGGGCCGCTCGAGCGCGCGCGCGTGCCGGCTCGCGGCGGGTCTCGTCGGGCGGCGCGCCAAGGGGGGGGGGGGAAGGCGAAGGGGGCGGGGCCTTCTCGGGAGGCTACAGGAAGTCCCCTGGCCTTCAGAGGAGATTTTGGAGCCCTCCCCCGAAGACACAACATGCTCCTCAGAAGGCGCGAGGGCTCCTGAGAAGTCCCGCCGCCTTCTGAGAAGGACTTCTCCTTCTCACTTCCCCCCTCGCACGCCGCCGACTCGTGGCAGACGGGCATGGGCGGGACCCCTCCTGAGCACTTTGCAGGAAGGAGAACCAGTATAAACAGAGGCTGTGGGAGGTCCGCGCGGAGTTCTCGGAGCTGCGCTCACCTCCTTGGTGCGCGAAGCGCGCCAGGGGTGGCGCCATGGGGGCCCCAGCGCCGATCCCAGAGATCCGCGTGGAGCTCCGAACGCTTACAAGTAGGTCGGGAGAAACGGGTAGAAGCATGAAGTAGGAAGGCGTTGGATGTAGATTGGGCTTCCGCCCGCCCCCTGAAGAGGCGGGAAGAAGGGAACCAGTCGAGCCTTGAAGTAGGAAGGCGCCAAAACTACATTTTGGGATCTGGGAATATGTGAAGGGGCCCTGGGACACACAAATAAATACACCCAAATAACAGGATTCCCCATATTTCCTATATTTTCTGGGTTTTTGTCTTCCCCCCACTTCCCATACTTTCCCATATGTTCTGGGAAATCGACGATGAAGTGTGTCTGTGTTTTCTTCCCTCCTGAATCTAAGAATACCTACTTTCAACGACCGATGGGTACGTTGATGCTGCCTGTCACTCCCCGACCACTGCCAGCCAGGAAGCTCGAGAAGCACGGGAGGCCGGGCCCGCGCGCAGGAAACCCACGCGGATGCCTCCTGGCGAAGGCGCGCGCCGTGCACCGATCGACGTCGGCAGCGCTCGTGGGGTGGAGGGAGGGGAGGGAGGGAGGGGATTCGGCAACTGGAAACATGTACAGCATCGGTGGAAGGGCCCTCTTGCAATCCCAAGATGTTTGGAAGGTCGGGGACGACGTCGGGGCGGTGAGGTGCATACTCTTCCCCAAATTTTCCTCGGGAAACAGCGAAACATGTGTACACCAGGATCCCGTGTACACCAAGATCCGCGTTCCCGTGCGAACTTCAATGCAGGGCTGGGAAAAACGTCGGTGTATATAGATCGGGGAGACGTAAGACCCGGTTACGGGGGACTCGGAAATCCCCGACGAGGTCGTCAAAAAAATGACGAGGCCGAGTCTGCATTTTGACGAGGCCTCCTGCTGCGGACATCCAACGAAACTCCTACTCGTCAAAATCCGAGTCGCGGTCGTCAAAAAACGATGGCGAACCCGAGTCCCGGCAAACCCGGGTCTTACGCTTCCCCGAATAGAGTTCGGTCCCCTGGGGGGGGGGCACCGCGCACCGCCGGCGGCGTCAGCGCAAGACTGGCGCGGCGCGCGCGCAGGAGCGCGCGCGGGAGGAGGAGGAGGAGGAGGAGGAGAGAGGAGGAGGAGGAGGAGGAGGAGGAGGAGGAGGAGGAGGAGGAGGAGGAGGAGGAGGAGGAGGGGGAGGAGGAGGAGGAGGAGGAGGAGGAGGAGACTGACTGACTGACTCATCTGCATCGATATCCATTCACTCCTCAAAAGAGCTACTCTAGGGGTACCGCAGAGCCTGGTGTTTGCACTCCAGGGGGCCTTAAATAGTGTGGGAGCGCTAGGCCAGACGCCGCTGCCATTGCGCGCGCAGCGCTAGCAGTGGCGTCTAGGCGCGGGGGCGCTTACTAAACTTGGTTGCGAGAGTTCTCTCTTCGCTGGATTCGCAGTCTGAGCTCCTCCAACCTATCCTCCCAGGGTCGACGACTGAGCGAGCGAAGGTAGGCGAGGGAGGGAGGCTCCGAGCCCGACCGAGGAGGAGGAGTCGATCCCTGGAGGCTGTTGGGGGGCTGCTGCCTGGGCTCTAGGCCTCTCTCTGAAAAAAATTGCTCCTGACCTGCTCTACTGTCCCTACCTACTCCTTCAGGTACATGTTCTCTTCTCCTCTGGCTCACTGCTTCCCTCTGATGCCGTATGCAAGCCCCCCAATCGGTGCCTTCCCTGGCATCTTCTGGAGGCCACTCGCTCGTAGGCACAGTCCGATCAGGCGATTCACCCTGACCAGTGTGAAGTTGCCCCCTGTGTCGAGCTCCTGTGGATGATGCTTGCCCTTCTGCGCCGCGATCTGCTGTTCCTCTGTGAGGTTCTTTGCCACGGGCCAGTGTCCCTCGAAATTGAATGAAAGACGTGATGTGGGTTGAACTCCTTGTTTGCTTTGGAGCTCGCTTGATCTGCATGTGACGCACCAGTCTTCGAGGTCTGACGGGCTGCCCGTCTCTCTGAATTCTTCGAGCCGTTTGACTGCTGCGAATATGCATTGAATTTCCTCGTTTTTGCCCTCTGTGGACGTGCTGGCGACTGTGGCGATCATGGCTCCCGCTGCGTGTAGGTGAGGTGACCCGAACTCGTGTCCTGCGCCCGCCTCCTTGACGAGCTTCTCGTACTTGGTGGTAGCTTCCTTGATGGCCAAAAAAACAGGGTGGCCCGTCGGGCCTTTGAAATGGTCGTCTGACGCTTCTCTCTCTCTCATGCGAGCTTCCAGTTGCAGTAGTAGCTTGGTGTCCTGGGTTCCTCCACTCTTGCCGCCGCCCTTGGCCTTCTTGGTCAGCTGTTCCTCTGGCTTGACGCTCTTCTCTACTGCCTCGACCGCCGATGCCCACCGCGACATCAATGGTGATCGAAAGATTCTCAATAGAAGGCAAAACGTGATTGTGCGCTAAATGCTGATCTAAAAGGTCAGGAGTCTGAGCAATAAAAAGGCACAACGGGCATTGCGTGACGGCGTGGGCTTTCCTCTGCGGAGCTCTCACCGAAAAGTCTGCAACACATCTCTGATGCTTCACTGATGCTGCAAGGTGCCACTGAGCGGTGGCACGATCCGAGAAGTTACTTTGGCAGAGAATGCAATAGTTCGACAGCGTGGCGATATGAGGGATCCTGTCCGTGGCACAAGTCTGCCTCAGGATCTTTTCTGTGTCCTCTCGCCCTCTCGCGCAAATTCTCGCACAATGCGTGACCATGCTCTTCTGATCAGGAAACACTTCCTCGCAAACTGGGCATTGGACGGGCAATTGAGGTGTATCGCCCTGCTCTTCCTGAAGAGGGGGGGTCGCAGTACCCCCGATCCCGCCCAGGCACGCAGGGGGGGGAACCGTCCTTGCAAGTTCGATAGACCTCAATTCAGCAACATCAATTGCTCTGAAAATCTCTCTTCCTTCTCCTAGGAACAAACCTAAAAAGTTTCCCTCTAGCTCCTCTAGGAGCTCTGAGCCCCTGGCGGTTCCCTCGAGCGCCAGAACGTCCTGCCAGAACTGCTTCAGCCAGGGGTTGGCCGTTGGGAGCACCTTGCCTTGAGGGTCGAATTCAAGGGGCACATCTTCACAAAAAGCTCTACCTACCAGCGCTGCGATCACCTGCTCATGTGCCTTCTGGTTCCACACAATGTCCTGCAGCCACTTGAGACGCCTGATTCTCAACTCGGTGAAGAGGGTTCCTATTTTGAGATGTCTTCGAACTTCTTGATTAGAAGGGGCTCGAACTCGATCTCGATTTCTGGAGGTGTATTTTCCTCGAAGCACGACCCTCGCGTATTTGTAGACTAACTGCTGCAGGGGCTCCAGGGACCGTTCGGTGATCGGGCTCCGCATGTTGAGGACGAACGCTTCTAATCCCGAGAGCGCCGCGTTCAGGACCAACCCCGTGAAAACAATGCCCTTGAACCTCATCGAGATTTTTGGAGTAGACCAGAACTTACCCATTTTGTGCCAGGCCGTCTTGAGGGCCTGCATTCTGTGCTTTTTCTCGGCCGAGAACCCGTTGTTGTAATGTTGTCTGCCCCCAAGATACCTCGCCTCTGAGAGAACATGCCCTTGGAGGGGAACCCGATGTTCGTGAAACAGACGATTTAATATTCCTGATTGTCGGCCTGCTCCCTGGACGATGTTGGTTTGTTTTTCCTTATTTTGCACTCCTCCGATCTCATGCAGAAGTCTGTCAACCACTTCGTTCTCCCACTGCGCCACAGCGGACAGGTGCTCCGCGTTGGCGCCCACGATCTTGCGGGCCACGTCGTCCACGAAGACCGAGGTGCTCAGGTCCGTGACTCTCTCGTCGCGTGGTCCTCGGAGTGGAGCAGGAAGTTGCATGTGCAGCGCTCTCTGCCAAGGGTCCGTGTCCATGGTGTCAATTAGCTTCTGTATTCCTGCTCCATGAGCCTTCACAAACAACTTTGTAGCCGCGTGATCTCCTGGTAGCACCCCACTCTGATTGGCCAGATGCCCACTGTAAACTCCGTCGTCAATCATGAAAGTGCTGTTCTGAATTCTTTGATAGAATAAATCCACTCGATCTGAGATGGCTAGCTCATCTGCCGCCTCTTCAGCATGCTCTTTGTGAATACAGTAGAACGCATTACTGGCATCATGAAATCGTGTGATGTGGTTCAATCCCGCCCTTCGAAGCCTGGCAGATCCACACATTTGTACCAACATCGCATCCTCCCTTCTTCTATGAGCAATTCCACCATGCGCCCAATACGGAAATGTGGCATTGTGTTTCATCATCGATCGGTAGTAAGCTCTGCCAAGTCCACAAAATATCATGATAGGTCTCTCCCCCGCAGTGTTCAGCTTGTCATTGTGCTTGGGAAGTCGGCAACACTGTGCCTGATGCCAAACCGCTGGTGCCCTTCCTGCTTGCCTGATCGCGCGGCACAAAAGGTAGATGCATCTCTCAAAATTGGGAGCCTTGATCATGTTGATGTCTACCTGGTTCTCTTCCTCGGTCTCCTCATGTGCTTCTTGCTGTTCTTCCGGTACTTCTCCTGGTCGTGGGATGGGATCGTCATCCTGTTCACCTGCATGTTCGCCCGTGGTTGCCCGTACAAATCCGTCCAACGTGGCGACTCTCATCTCCTGATTAGTCGGGCGGTTGCACGCTTCCCTCTGATCTCCAGCAGGGCCCCCACGGCCAATCTCCTGGATTGTCTCGCGACGATCAGGGTTGGCGCCGACGCCGCCCGACGGGACGGAGAACCCCCGTTCCTGACCCAGTTTTTCTGCATCATCCTCTGCGCTTCGAAGTCCCCGTCGTTTTGCTTTCTTGTAGTACCAGTTGGGGTCCATCATGACTCTCAGAAGATCACTCGAGATGCTCCATGAGGGTGTTGCTCTCCAAGAGGGGAGTTTGCGTACCGCCTTGCGTAGTTTCTCTGCATCAAGGAGAGCATCTTGGTGTGCCGCTTGATAGTCAATCTCGTCTTCTGGTTCATTGATCCATTCCAAGTGCGATGGGAAAAAGTGCATCCTTTCAGCTTGCTGTCCATCATCAAATGGCTGTCTCCAGAATCCTGTGGTGATGGTTGGCGCCTCCTTTCTATGAAGTACTCTAGCATTGGCGCCTCCACTCGTGCCTGCCTTCTGGAACTGGCTGATCCATTCTATGGCTGATGCTCGTGATGTGGGTACCCTGCTGTAGTGTCGCCCTCGAGGTCCTCTGCACTGTCCTGCGATGAGTCTGGCTATCCTGTGTGCATCATAGAACTTCCTATCTCGCCAAGCTTCCCACAGTGCCTCGACTCTGTCTTGAAGTCGTGCTTCAGCTAGTTCTTGCTTGCGCTTCTTGAGTGTTCTGCTGATGCGTGCTATCTCAATGCTTAGATCTTCATTCGAGACTTCCTCCTCTTTGGCTCGTCGTCTCTCCTCGAGTAGTTTGCCGACCTGCTCGCTCATGTTGAATGTGCTGCCCTTGTCCTCTGTGTATCCTGGCGCCTCTGTGAGCATCTTGGTCGCAACGTTGTTGAGTATCTGCATGATTCCTGCATTTATCATGTCAACGTTGCCTTCAAATTCCCATTGTCCAAAGGTGTCCATATGTTTCTCCAGGGCCTCCTCGACACTGCCTACAAATTCTTCTCGTCTGTGTCCGTAAAGTAACATGGCATTACACGATTCTCGATTGGGTTGTTTGTGTCGAGGCCGTTGATGTATGGATTCATATGAATGCTGAAAATCCAGAGTTAATGGGTAGTGATCCTTGGGCGCCACGCATCGTATGTGTTGAAGTCTCTTTCCTTTTCGCCATGATACCATACACTCGTTGATGTTGTCAAGTACCGCTGCTGGAACAATAATGTAGTCGATTCTTTTTCTGACATTGTGGTCGATCCCGTAGTACGTGATCCCTGCATTGAAATATGTGTTCGCCAGGACGAGTCCATGCACTTTCAACACAGGTTTGATAATTCCGTAGTTGATGCCGTCATGATCTGCTTCGCATGGCCCTGATATGTATGGAAACGTGCTGTCCTCGGCGCACGTGCTGTTCAAGTCTGTGCCGATGATGGGGAGGCATCTCGAAGGCAATCGATTCATCTGCTCATTGAACCAGGAAGTAAGTTCTGCCGATAGTGCTTTCTGGATGGCTATTGCTCCTTTGCCTTTCCCTCTCGTTGGATAATATAACGAAAAGAGTGCTACATCCTGCCTGCCCCTGCGATATCGAATCATTAATCCACGTCCCTGTATCTTGCCCGTCGCCATTGTGACTCTGGTGATGTACTGGGGTTGATATCTTCGCACGTGCATTCCGATGGCTACACCACAGGACGAGTGCGTCTGCTTGTCATACCCCGCATGGAAGAAAAAATGAGTCGGCGACGGTGTGCGAAAGGGTTCCTTATCCTTGGGCAGCCTCATGCCTGTGCCCTGCAGGAGGATGAAGTCATGGCCCTTGTACTCCTGGCTGATGTCGTATATTCTGCCTGGCGCGGTCGCCGACAACGGGTTGTACGATGCCACTCGCACTGTCCGCCAGCCGCCGCCGCTCCCTCTCCCTGCGCCTGCCTCCATCGCTGCATTTGCGAGAAGGAAAAACAGGGGGGAGATGATGTGGGGTGGGTTCTTCAGTCGCGCGCGCACTGCCTGTGCCATAATGCGACTGAGGAGGAGGAGGAGGAGGAGGAGGAGGAGGAGGAGGAGGAGGAGGAGGAGGAGGAGGAGGAGGAGGAGGAGGAGGAGGAGGAGGAGGAGGAGGAGGAGAGGAGGAGGAGGAGGAGGAGGAGGAGGAGACCGACGCAGCCCGAAGACCCGGATCTCGGGTTGGGGGGGGGGGGGCGGCTCCACAGATGTCTCCCACCGTTCCCCGGCCCGAGGCCCGGCCCTCGGGCAGCGTGCGCATCCGTCCTCCTCCTCCTCCTCCTCCTCCTCCTCCTCCTCCTCCTCCCTCCTCCTCCTCCTCCTCCTCCTCCTCCTCGTTGGGGATGCAGGGCAATTTGGGGCATTCGGGTTGGGTTGGGCCGGCTTGGTGGGTGGTGAGGCAGGGGCGCGCGCACGAAGGATCCCAGGGGCGCTGGGTCTGGCCGACGTCGGGCGAGGGGGGGCGAGCGCGCGGCCCTCGTGGGACTGCGCAGTGAGGGGGGCCGGAGCCCTCAGCTCGTGTCGCCCGTGTCGTGGGCAGCCCGCTGCACGTTGCACAGATGTGCCGTCTCTCCCCCTATGCCGAATGTAGGCGCCGCGCGCAGGTGCCAGGCACCATTCGCGGCCAGTGTCGCGGGATTGCGCCGTGGCTTGCCATTGTAGCTGCTTCCAGTCACTTCACGATCTCGCGGTCGCATCGCATCCGCTGTCACGGAGTCAGACGCCCTGAAGGCTGGGGGAAGTTTCCGCTGTTTCCGCCGCTTCCCTGATGCGTTCCTCTCCAAACCGGCATCAGAATTGTGACTCTCGCTCGAGGTTTCCCGACGAATCGATGAGTATCTGCCAGAGGTTCTCGCCGCATCGCTGGCGATCACTGCAAGTTCCCGTGCGTTCCCCGATTCCCCGCCGCGCAAAAGACATTGCCCTGCCGAGCACAATACCACCCCTGGTTGCATCTACACTGCTGCCATCCCCCCAGCCATCTTTTGTTTCTGCCTCCAGAGAGCGCTACGAGAGCAGGCGCAAAGACGAAGCCACGCACGGCCTAAAGAGGTTTCTCCTGTCGGGGTGCATGCGCAGATAAGGCCACCTACTCGAAAACATCACTGGTGAGTGTGCGGTCCAGCTCACGTTTGGAGCTACGCAAACTCGACCCTGCCTCTGAAGATGTTCGGACGCCAGTCTACTCGAACAACGAGTTCTTGAGCCTTTCAAACTTGAGTGCGCTGGTCCTTGGATGCGCTCCGCACGAGAGCGTCAATGCGTTGCAAGCATGCCACCCTGGCCCAGACGGCACTGAGAGAAGGCTCGCAGGGGTGCCTCGACCGCATGCCCGCCGTCGCCCCTGGCGAGCGGCCCGCGGCCGAGCGCCCGCTCGCCGCCTCAGGCGCTGGCCCCGACGGCCTCGGGCGGAGGGGCGCTGGGGCCCTTGCCCCCCTTGCCCTTGGCGACGGTGCCCTGGCAGCACTGGCAGCAGTACCAGCAGAAGAGGTAGCCGCCGGCGAGAAGGCCCCAGACGAGCATCACCGCCGCCGGGCCCGTGTGCGGCTGGTTGCTGACCCCGGCGCAGGTGGGGAGGGTGAGGCCCCAGCAGTTGACCCCGAACGCGGCACAGGCCAAGAAGGAGTACAGGCACACCGGCACGTCGTAGAGCAGGATCTGGCCAGCCTGCTCCTGGATCTCCTTGGCGGACATCTCCTTGAAGTCCTTGCCGCCGAGGCCTTTGATGATCTGCCTCTGCATGTAGTACGCCATACCAGAATGAATAACGGCGAAGATGATGTCCACGAGGCAGAAACCCATCAGCTGATTCTTCTCGGTGTCATCTGTGCAGTCACCGAGTATTCCCACGGCCCAGATTGCTGCCGCGCCCGCGATGATCATGCCGACCCAGGTGCCCATGACGTAGTTCCCAAGGGGGTTGTTGATGACGGGCTCCCAGAATTCACCAATGGCCGCGCAGCAGTTCTTGAAGATGTCGCAGCAACCCTTGCAGAGGGTGCAAGGGAGCTTGCAGAGCCCACTGATGCCCTGGGCGATGTAGATCATGGTCTCAGGCTTCGCGCCTGCTGAACCGAATGCTTCACGCTGCGAAGAGGAGCAGTTTGCACTCTGCGCGAGCTCTTGAGCCAAAATGGCTTACGGAGCCATCCCCCCAGCCATCTTCATCACTACCATTAGGTCGGGCCTGTCCCCCTACAGGGGGATTTTGGACGAAAAACAAAGAATACCCAAACAAAAACTCAAAAGATGCCAAAAAATACTCCGAAAATAGTCCCCAGACTATGTTTTGACTATTTTGGGATATTCCCCCTGTAGAGGGACAGGCCCGACTTAACACTACAGGCATGTCGCCGTCACTGCTGCGACCCCGTTCACCACTATGGCGGCCACTGCGCTACTACCTACCAGCCCAAAGACGCAACAGCAAATCGAAAGCATAACCTCCCCCTGTATGAAGGGCATCGATCAGGGATGTGCCACGGCCCCGCTCGCGCCCAGATTGTCCAGACCTCTCACCGAGAATTGGCGCTTTGGCGAGGTAGACGTCTCTCGCCCAAGACGATGGCGATGCAGCACCCATGGCATTTGAACCACCCAGAAGGGTGTCGACCAGGGGCGTTTCACAGACCCCGGACCCGCTTGCACCCAGAGTGTCGGGACCCGTTGAAAGAATGGCAGCTCACTTGGGCCACGCATTGTGGTGTCTACCAGGGGTGTTTCGCGGGCTCCTTCGCGCCACATTACCGGAGCCTCTCAAATATAACGGCGACTCTAGCAGGGTAGCCGCGTCTTCTTTGAGAACCCCAATATCATCGAGACGTAGCAGGCACAGCACCTGAGCACCCAAAGAGGTGTCGAGAAGGGGTGCTTCGCGGGCCTCCTCGCGCCCAGACGGTCGAGACATCTCAAATGGAATGGCCGTTCTGGCGGGGTGTGCGCGTCTCCCTTGATAGGCCCAAGATGCTTGCGATGTATGGCTTTTGAGCCGCCCAAAGGGTGCCGCCGAGGCGTGTTTCACAGGCCCTTTGCGCCCAAATTGTCCGACCGCCTCGAGCGGAACATTCGCTTTCGCACAATAGACGAATCTCCTGTCATAGCCCAGTGATCACCGCGATGTTGCAGGCATGGCACTTGAACCTCCCAATGGAGAGCCGACAGGGTGTATGGCACGGTCCCGTTCGCGCCCAGATTGTATAGACCTCCCAGGCGCCCAACTTGCAGAATCCGGTCACGAATGTCCAGACTCACGACTCGAGCCATTCACATCTAATCGCACTCATACCCATAGTCGCATATATTTAGCCACACAAGCTCAGGCTCACTCGCACCCAGACCCGTTCGCATCCAGGCGATTATGCGCAGGATCACCTGCACTCAGGCACTCGAATTCATCGCTCACGCTCAGACTCAGAGAAGAACGCGCTAGAAAACTGATGCACACTTGAGGGCTTCCGCGCCGAAGGCTCATTCGCCCTAGAGCGGGCTGCAACGGCTGGCTGCCCGCCAATGCGGGATGCGGGGGGCTTCTAAGAGGGCGGGCTGTGCCTCTTAGAAGGACCCGAAGGCTTCCAGGAAGGCCTCTCGAGAAGTAGCGAGGGCTTCTGGAAAGCCCCCCCCCGCCTCCTCAGAAGGCCCACCCCCTCGCGCCACGCCCGGCCGCGCGCCGCCGAAGCCGAGGAGCCAGGGGAGAGGTGTTCTCGGGGGAGGCCAGCACCACTCCGCGGGGCACTTCTCACCATCCCCTAAACCGCGCTCCGACGGTGCCGAGCCTCAGAGTGGACTGCGAGGGCACGACCTACGTGACGGTGCTGCGCGTACCTGACGTCGCTGCCGCATGCAGAGCGACCGGCGCTTCTGCGGCGGCCTGCAGTCAGAACGGCCGACTGCCGCTGAGCACAGGCCGCAGCCCGCCGTTGGAGGGCGGTCGGATGGAGGAGGGGCGGCTTGGAGGAAGAGGATGGGCATCGCCGGAGAAAGAAAAACGGCATAAGCACAACCTTCCGACGCTCCGCGCGGACTTCTTAGATCTGCGCTGGAACCCCCTCCCTGGCGCACGGATCGCGCCAGGGCCGGCGCCGGAGGCGCCGCCAGAGGGGCCCAGCGCGGATCCAAGAAGTCCGCGCGGAGCGCCACAAATGTATGTTTACGCAGTTGTTTTGTCTTCCTCTTCTACGGCAGCCTGCTGACAAAGAGGGTTTCTCTGCGTCGCCGGGACTGCAGCCCAGCCCACCTCTCGCAAGTGGACGGCTGGAGGCAGAACACCAGCGCCGCCGGCATCAAACGCACACCGTAACCAAGGGCGGCGCAAGGAAGGAGGATAGGCGGCAAATGGCAGTCCCCACTTCGTCGCGAGAAAGCACCTGCAACGAATGCCCCCATCGCGCCACGAAAGAAAGACTGCCGACTCGCACCGTCCCAGACCCCCGACGTCGTGATTTGATCCGCAGCCTGGGCAACCGGACGTCTCGACCCGTTGCCTGGTACCGGCTTTTCGTCCTGAGTCGTTTCTGGATGGCCGCGGGGCCCAGCGAGGAACCCAGGAGGCCGAGAATGGAGAAAAAACCTGCCGTCGTGATTTCTTCACGACGCGAGGGGACCTGGGTCGCGGGTCAAGAAACGCCCCCGACACCTCTCCCGGGGCGCGCTCTGACCGGCATTCGGACGCGAAGCCAGCGGTGGCGACAAGAAGCCCCCCAGAGGCCCAAAAGGCCTCGATCCTTGAAGTTCGAGGCTCGAAGTTCGATCCTCGACCCTCGATCATCGATCCTCGAGGTTCGAAAAAGCCTCGGTCCTCGATCCTTGGGTCTGGGATTCGCACCGTGGCAGACAGCACCGGCCGCAGAGCCCTCCGCCCCGCGGAAGGCTCAGCCCCACAGCGCCGCGAGCACGCCGCGCCCCCTGCGGGGCTCCGCCGGCAACCACGCCGCGTCGGCGCCCGTCTGCTCCGCGAGCGCCTCCGCCTCCTGCAGGTCCGCGCACTTGTCGCGCAGCCGCGCCCACCTGGAGGAGGAGGAGAAACGGAAGACTTAAACGTGAAGATTCTGTGCTTCAGTTCCCACTCCGCCGCCGCCGCCGCCGCCTCCGCCTCCTCCTCCTGCTGCTCCTCCTCCTCCTCCTGCTGCTCCTCCTCCTCTCCTCCTGCTCCTCCTCCTGCTCCTCCTCCTCCTCCTCCTCCTCCTGCTCCTCCTCCTCCTCCATCCTCTTCCTCCTCCTCCTCCTCCTCCCCCTCCTCCTCCTCCTCCTCTTCCTCCTCATTTTCTTAGTGCGATTAAAAGTATTGGCCTTATTCTTTTGATTCGCATCAGTAATATGATTCGTCGCAGCATGAAACGTATTCGTATGATCCATATGATTAGTATGATTGTTAGTCGTCTGATTAGTATGACTCGTCTTCTTCTTCAGACTAGCATTTGTAGTATTCGTATTATGAGCTTTCAATGATAGTATTAACAATAGTAGTATGAGTACTCGTATGACTGCTTGTCTGATTCGTCTTCTTCAGGTTCGTGGTCGATTATCCTTGTTAATCTTATTATTGTAATGATTCGTATTCCTCCTCCTCCTCCTCCTGCTCCTGCTCCTCCTCCTCCTCCTCCTCCTCCTCCTCCTCCTCCTCCTCCTCATCCATCCTCCTCCATCCTCCTCCTCCTGTTCCTCCTCCTCCTCCTCCTCCTCCTCCTGCTCCTCCTCCTCCTCCTCCCTCCCTCTCCTCCTCCTCCTCCCTCTCCTCCGTCCTCCATCCTCCATCCTCCATCCTCCACCCTCCCCTCGGGAAATCATCGGCAGAAACCTGAGCTGTCGACGGCCCGAGCGGCTTTTGCTGCCTCTGCGCCGGACCCCCCTGGGCGGCGCCTCCCGCGCCGCCCCTGGCGCGCTGCGAGCGCCAGAGAGGGGTGCCCGGCGCAGATCCAAGAACTCCGCGCGGACCGCCGACTGTTTACGTGCCAATGCCCTTCGCCCTCTCCCTCTCTCTCTCTCGCCCTCTCTCTCTCTCGCCCTCTCTCGCTCGCTCTCTCCCTCTCTCTCTCTCTCTCTCTCTTTCTTTCCCTCCCTCTCCCTCCCTCCCTCTCTCTCTATCTCTCTTTCTCGGCCACCGGAGCCCCAGCCGGTGCAGCGCCGACGAGGCGAGGCGCATCTCCCTGTCGTGGAGGGTCGCGGCCCGCTCCGCGAGCTGCGACCGGTGGAGGAGCTCCCGCACCCGCAGCTGGATCTGCTCCTGAGCATCGTTTATCCGACCCCTTATCCCCAACGGCGTGGCCTGGGCCCCACTGGCCGACTTACCTCCCAAGATGAGGGTATGGGCTGTTCCCTTGGGGCCTCGAGGGGTGTATCCCCAAATGGGATGGTAGAGTGCTGGGGCTCGGGATGGGGATGGGGATCGGGAGCGATGCTGAGCTCCTCCAGCGCCCGGGCCTCCCGGCGGAGCGGGCGCGTGCCGCCGCGCGACAGCGACTCCTCCGCGCCGGCCGCCCGCCGCGAGGCCTCCGCGAGGCAGCGCTCGGCCTCGCGCACCTCCTCGCGCAGCGCCTGAGCCTCGGCCTCGGCGTCCGCGAGGGAGGCCTGGAGCTCCCCCAGGGTGGTCTCGCTCGAGGCGGAGAAAGCGGCACCGGCCCAGATCTCGGAGGATGTGAAGTTTCGGCCTGGGATCGCTTCCTCGATGCCGGCCTCTCGGGCCCACTGTCGGGGCCCCAGGAACATCGAAGACGGATAGGGGACGCACGAATACTCCAGCCTTCCGGAGCCGAGGATCGACAGAAACACACCGGACGACGCCCGGGAGCATCAACTTTCGGAGGTCCGCGCGCAGTTCTCGGAGCGGCGCTGGGTCCCCCCACCCTCTGCCTGGCGCGGGGAGCGCGCCAGGGGCGGTGCCGGAGGCGCCGCCAGAGGGATCAAGCGCCTCCTCTCTGGCAGCGCTGGGGAACACTGCGCCGCAGGCGGGCTGGACCCCTCTGGCGCGCTCCGCGCCCCAGGGCCGATCCGAGGACTCCGCGCGGACCTCCGCACGTTCTGTCGCTTGTGCCACAGTGTCTCCCTCGAGTCTCGTAGGGGGCGTAGTCGGAGAAGTCGGGCTCAGACTCGTGGTCCGGGGCGACCGCGCAGCGGGCCGCCGCGCGCGCCTCCTCCACCGCGTCCTGCAGGGCCCGCGCGCTCGCCTCCTCGAGCCCGGCCTGGCGCAGGGCCTGCTGCTCCTCGTCGCGGAGCAGCACAAGCTCGCCCAGGAGCTCGTCGGTGGAGGCCCCGGCCAACCGGCGCATATTGCGCCTGTGGACCTCCTCCTGGACCTCGGCGCTGCCTATGAGCGCCTCCGCCTCGTGGAGCCTCGCGCGCTCCTTGGCGGCCTCGCTGTCGAATTCCCTCAGCCTCTCGCGGGCCTCCTCGAGAGAGGGGGCGAGCCTCTGCACGTTCATGTGCTCCTCGGAGCACACGAAGTTCACATGGGCCAGTCTGGCGTCCATCTCCACCTGGTGGTCCGTCATGCTCTTCAACTTGGTGCGCTGGACGATGCTCCAGGAGAGCTTCGGAGCCGCCTTCTCACCGCTCTCGGTGAACGCGAGCTGCTCGCGCAGCTCGCAGCACTCGCTGTCGCACGCCTTGCACTCCTTCTGCAGCAGCTCCACCTTCTGCTGCGCGAGGCCGTGCTTCCGGGCGTGCCTGCTGGCCGCGCGGGTCTCCTCATGCACCTCCTCTCGGAGGTACTGCACGGAGGACTCCGTATCCCTCGCCTCCTGCCGCAGACTCTCGAACTCGTCCTGCAGCTCGTGGCAGGCGTCCGCCTCGTGGTGCAGGCGCTCCTTGGCGGCGTAGATCTCCCGCACCAGGTGCAGCGACGCCTGCCTCTCCGAGCGACAGCGGGAGCGCCCGTCCTCCAGCGCCTCGGAGAGCTCCTCGAGCTCCTCCTGCGCGCCCCCCGCGAACGACCCACGCCGCGACGCCCACAGGGCGCTGCACGCAGAGCCCCCAGGGCCCCCTCCGACCTGCCCCGAAGGACGCCGCTCCTCCAGCGGCCCGCCGCGCGGCGAGCCGCCGCCGCCGCTGGCGTGCGACGGGCGCCGCGGCCCCGCGCCCGGCACGCCGTCGGGGGCCTCGGCGCCCAGAGGCTGCACGGCGCCCGCGGCGTCGTCGGCCTCCGCGTCGCTGGCCACTCGCGCGAGGACGCCGTGCATGGCGGCGGCCAGGGCGCCCTGGTGCCCCTGGGGCAGCGCGCCGATCCGGGCGGCGGCCTCCTGCGCCTGCGGGCCCTGGAACGCGGCCAACAGCACGCCCAGCAGCAGCGCGCGCGCTGCCCTCGTGTCGCTGCGGCCCGCCCACCGGACGTCCACGATCCTCGCGGCGCGGCCGTGCTCGTCGCGGTAGACGTCGTTGATGTGGCGGGCGACCTCGACGCGGCTGTCCCTCGGCGGCCTCGAGAGGGCGGCAGCGTCGCTGGGGAGGGCCGCCTCCGCCCCGCGCACGAAGCGCCTCGCCACAGGGCTGAACCTAAACGGTGTTTTCGTTCTCGTTGTGTTTCCGTTGCCCCTCGCTTTTGTCTTCAAACCACCTCTACCGCAAAACGAAGTCGAAACGAAAACGGCCCATGAAATCGCCAAAACACTGTTCTGGTCCAGCCCTGCCTCGCCAGGGACAGCAGCGGGGGGCCCTCCGCGAGGTCCTCCAAGGTGCGCGGCGGCCCGTCGCTCTCCCCCAGGCAGGCGGCGGCCCATGCGGCGAGAGCGGCGTCGCAGGCGTCATCGCCTGAAGCCATCCGCCGCGGCCCCCCTGGGAGCCGAGGCTCTCGCAGATGTGGCCTCCGGCCTGCCTGGCCGGCAGTCGTGCCACCGGCGGCGCCGGTTCCAAGGCCTCGCGTTCATTGCTGTGTGAGCCGGGTCGGCTTGAGCCCGAGGCTACGAGCTCTGCTTGGCCCACCTGTTCCGACTGTCTGCGATGCGTGTTGGCGCAAAGGGCGACAAAAAGAACGACAGGGCAGAAGAACACAAATGGAGTGGGGGAAAGGAGAAGGGGAGGAGTGGGGTTCATCCAGTCTGTTTCAATTCGTCGGTGTGACTGACGCGGGGCTATAATGATGTATTGTCGTTTGACGCAACGCTTCTCGACCCCCAACTGAAATCAGCGCGACCCCAAATGAAGATCTCGCGTCCGATGGCACAGTATCAGAATAGCTCTGCGCGCGTCGAACAGGAATAATCACGCTGTGCCGCAAATCGTTGCATAATCAGATCGCTCCTGGAATCGGGCTCGAATGGGGTATCATCGCGGAGCAAAACCTGTCATGTCAAGCACGCAGTGTGATACCACACAGAACAAGCAAGTAGCCATACTACACACATGGCGATGAGGGTGAAGGATAAACTACCATCAGGCCGCGTGTATAGTAGCTTCGAAAAGCAAAGGCACCTCAAGCAAAACCTAACTGGGCAAACATTACCCTGCGACGTACCCAACCCATTTGTATCAATGGAAACGAGGAGTTGGCCGAAACTTGTATGGACAATCAACTTGATGTGTAAGCTACTTGGGAGGCGTCACTGTGCTGGGCCCCGCAAGCAGGCCTCGAAAGTGGCGATAGTTTCACAGATCGCAGCCCCCCAGGGATGGCGAGGTCTAATTTGAATCTGCGTGTGGCGTCACTGTGCTGGGCCCCCCAGCAGGCCTCGAAAGTGGCGACAGTTTCACAGATCGCAGCCCCCCAGGGATGGCGAGGTCTAATTTGAATCTGCGTGTGGGTACCCACTGTGCTGGGCCCCGCAGCAGGCCTCGAAAGTGGCGACAGTTTCACAGATCGCAGCTCCCCAGGGATGGCGAGGTCTAATTTGAATCTGCGGTGGGTACCCACTGTGCTGGGCCCCGCCAGCAGGCCTCGAAAGTGGCGACAGTTTCACAGATCGCAGCCCCCCAGGGATGGCGAGGTCTAATTTGAATCTGCGGTGGGTACCCACTGTGCTGGGCCCCGCAAGCAGGCCTCGAAAGTGGCGACAGTTTCACAGATCGCAGCCCCCCAGGGATGGCGAGGTCAATTTGAATCTGCGGTGGGTACCCACTGTGCTGGGCCCCCCAGCAGGCCTCGAAAGTGGCGACAGTTTCACAGATCGCAGCCCCCCAGGGATGGCGAGGTCTAACTTGAATCTGCGGTGGGTACCCACTGTGCTGGGCCCCGCAAGCAGGCCTCGAAAGTAGCGACAGTTTCACAGATCGCAGCCCCCCAGGGATGGCGAGGTTTAATTTGAATTTGCAGTGGGTGCCCACTGTGCTGGGCCCCATCAGCAGCCCTCGAAAGTGGCGACAGTTTCACAGATCGCAGCCCCCCAGGGATGGCGAGGTCTAACTTGAATCTGCGGTGGGTACCCGCTGTGCTGGGCCCCATCAGCAGGCCTCGAAAGTGGCGACAGTTTCACAGATCGCAGCCCCCCAGGGATGGCGGGGTCCAACTTGAATCTGCGGTGGGTACCCAATGTGCTGGGCCCCCCAGCAGGCCTCGAAAGTGGCGATGTTTCCGCAGATCGCAGCCCCCCAGGGACGGCGAGGTCCCATTTGAGTCCGCCGTGGGCACCCACTGTGCTGGGTCCCCCCCAGCAGGCCCCGAATGGCGACAGCTTCACAGATCGCAACCCCCCAGGGATGGCGAGGTCCCATGTGAGTCCGCCGTGGGTACCCACTGTGCTGGGCCCCCCAGCAGCCCTCGAAAGTGGCGACAGTTTCACTGATCGCAGCCCCCCAGGGATGGCGAGGTCTAATTTAAATCTGCGGTGGGTACCCACTGTATTGGGCCCCTCAGCAGCCCTCGAAAGTGGAGACGGTTTCACAGATCGCAGCCCCCCAGGGATGGCAAGGTCTAATTTGAATATGCGGTGGGTACCCACTGTGCTGGGCCCCCCAGCAGGCCGCGAAAGTGGCGACAGTTTCACAGATCGCAGCCCCCCAAGGATGGCGAGGTCCCATTTGAGTACGCCGTGGGTGCCCACTGTGCTGGGCCCCCCAGCAGGCCTCGAAAGTTGCGACAGTTTCACAGATCGCAGCCCCTCAAGGGTGGCGAGGTCAAATTTCAATCCGCCGTGTGTACCCACTGTGCTGGGCCCCCCAGCAGGCCTCGAAAGTGGCGACAGCTTCACAGATCGTAGCCCCCCAGGGATGGCGAGGTCTCATGTGAGTCCGCCGTGGGTGCCCACTGCGCTGGGCCCCTCAGCAGGCCGCGAAAACGGCGACGGTTTCACAGATCGCAGCCCCCCAGGGATGGCGAGGTCCCATTTGAGTCCGCCGTGGGTACCCACTGTGCTGGGCCCCCCAGCAGGCCGCGAAAGTGGCGACAGTTTCACAGATCGCAGCCCCCCAGGGATGGCGAGGTCTCATTTGAGTCCGCCGTGGGAACCCACTGTGCTGGGCCCCCCAGCAGCCCTCGAAAATGGCGACAGTTTCACAGATCGCAGCCCCCCAGGGATGGCGAGGTGCAATTTCAATCCGCCGTGTGTACCCACTGCGCTGGGCCCCCCAGCAGGCCTCGAAAGTGGCGACAGTTTCACAGATCGCAGCCCCCCAGGGATGGCGAGGTCTAACTTGAATCCGCCGTGTGAACCCCACTGTGCTGGGCCCCCCAGCAGGCCTCGAAAGTGGCGACCGGTTCACAGATCGCAGCCCCCCAGGGATGGCGAGGTCTCATTTGAGTCCGCCGTGGGTACCCACTGCGCTGGGCCCCCCAGCAGGCCTCGAAAGTGGCGACAGTTTCACAGATCGCAGCCCCTCAAGGATGGCGAAGTCAAATTTCAATCCGCCGTGTGTACCCACTGTGCTGGGCCCCCCAGCAGGCCTCGAAAGTGGCGACCGTTTCACAGATCGCAGCCCCCCAGGGACGGCGAGGTCCCATTTGAGTCCGCCGTTGGCGCTGGGCCCCCCAGCAAGCCTGGAAAGTGGCGACGGTTTCACAAATCGCAACCCCCCAGGGATGGCGAGGTCCCATTTGGGTCCGCCGTGGGTACCCACCGTGCTGGGCCCCCCAGCGAGCCTCGAAAGTGGCGACGGTTTCACAGATCGCAGCCCCCCAGGGATGCCGAGGTCCCATTTGAATCCGCCGTGGGTACCCACTGTGCTGGGCCCCCCAGCAGGCCGCGAAAGTGGCGACGGTTTCACAGATCGCAGCTCCCCAGGGATGGCGAGGTGCAATTTCAATCCGCCGTGTGTACCCACTGTGCTGGGCCCCCCAGCAGGCCTCGAAAGTGACAATAGTTTCACAGATCGCAGCCCCCCAGGGATGGCGAGGTGCAATTTCAATCCGCCGTGTGTACCCACTGTGCTGGGCCCCCCAGCAGGCCTCGAAATTGGCGACAGTTTCACAGATCGCAGCCCCCCAGGGACGGCGAGGTGCAATTTCAATCCGCCGTGTGTACCCACTGTGCTGGGCCCCCCAGCAGGCCTCGAAGATGGCGACAGTTTCACAGATCGCAGCCCCCATGGGACGGCGAGGTGCAATTTCAATCCGCCGTGGGTACCCACTGTGCTGGGACCCCAGCAGGCCTCGAAAGTGGCGACAGTTCCACAGATCGCAGCCCCCCAGCTGGCACGCAGCGACGAGCGAGGCAAAAGGCAAGGGGGAGGAGAGGGGCGGGAAGGAAGAAAGGAGACGCGCGAGCAATGCTCTACTCAAACCGAGAATCCAACGCAGGAGGGTTGGGAGCAAAAGCGTGCTCGGTACCGCGAATGCCACACAGAGGCCGACCCAAAGGGCCTCAATACAATCAAAAGGCCCCCAGCATTCAAAATGTGTTTGTCCCAACCATCCTGTGGTGTTGGGTCCTCGTTTTGAAGAGACGGTGCCCCACGTTCCTCGTCCTCCTCCTCCTCCTCCTCCTCTTCCTCCTTCCTCCATGCGTTTCACCCACCCAGAACAACGCTTCGTGGCCCCATAGAGAGCTCCACCGAAGGCCCCAGTGCCAGGGTTCGCATGGCGGCCTCGGGCCATTTCGGCCCCCCCCTACGGTGATCGTGGCCCCATTAAGAGCCCCACCGAGGGCGCCAGTGGCTGGGTTCGCATGGCGGCCTCAAGCCATTTCGGCACACCCCTCGCGAGGATCGTGGCCCCATCGGGTGCTCCACCGAGGGCCCCCGGTCGCAGGGCTCGCATGGCGGCCCCGGGCCATTTCGGCACACCCATCACGAGGATCGGGTCCCCATAGGGGGCTCCACCGAAGGCCACCAGTGCCAGGGTTCGCACGGCGGCCCCGGGCCATTTCGGCACACCCCCCACGAGGATCGGGGTCTCATAGGGGGCTCCACAAAAGGCTCCAGTGCCAGGGTTCGCATGGCGGCCTCAAGCCATTTCGGCACACCCCTCACGAGGATCGTGGCCCCATTAAGAACCCCACCGAAGGCGCCAGTGGCAGGGTTCGCAAGGCGGCCTCAAGCCATTTCGGCACACCCCTCACGAAGATCGTGGCCCCATCGGGTGCTCCACCGAAGGCCCCCCGTCGCAGGGCTCGCATGGCGGCCCCGGGCCATGTCGGCACACCCCTCACGAGGATCGTGGCCCCATAGGGGGCTCCACCGAAGGCCCCCAGTGGCAGGGTTCGCATGGCGGCCCCGGGCCATTGCGGCACACCCATCACGAGGATCGTTGATAGAAAGCTCCACCGAAAGTCCCAGTGGCTGGGTTCGCATGGCGGCCCCGGGCCCTGTCGGCACACCCCTCACGAGGATCGTGGCCCCATAGAGAGCTCCACCGAAGGCCCCAGTGCCAGGGTTCGCACGGCGGCCTCGGGC